TTGTATGTTTTAACATCCAGAATGTGATTAAATGCTTCTTTCCACTTTCTTATGAATAACAGTAGAAAGGTCGATGCAATCGTGAGTGACTGAAAACCTGTCTAGACTACAATATACTTTTTTTGGAAAAGTAAACCCTGTGTTGGCCAGGAAGAGAGAAAAATGGGGTGAAATACTCATAAATACTTTTAAAGTGCATAATAATGCAAATTAATAAATCTCTGATTGGTAGACAGATTTTAATGAGTCTGTTTGCCATAGCTTGATGACTAAGGCTGTGTTGAGTTTCAGACACAGGCAGAGGATATAAGCACTTTGTTACTTCTGATTGATTGTTACAAAAAATCATCCTTAAACTTATAGCATTTGATCTTTTAATGAAGAAAGAATTTCCTGAGATTTTGCAATTAAGTCTGTAAATAACTCAAATTAACGTTAATGTTAAATGGGCCTGTTCATCTTTTTATCTGGCAGATCTTTTTGTCACAAATTATTTAAAAATGTGAAACTTTCATCCTCCCATAATTAACAACTCACTGACTTTCTGCACTAGCCTAAGAAATTAGGTTATAACTAAGAAAATTTATTGACTTATCTTATAGCTACCTGTCTTAATTCTAAGACAAAGTTGAAATCCAGTGTATCTGCTTTAGCTCCTAAAATGAAGCTTACACAGAATTTAGAAGTCTAAATCCAGCAAATCAATTGAGGAACTCATGCTCCAGTGACTATCTAATACTTAAATGCTTGTGACTCAGTAGGCACAGTCCTGCACCTTTTAAAATTTTCATAGATGCCAGCATACACCAAAAAGTCCTCCATCTCAGTGTTCTTCTCCCATGTATACTAAAACTATATAGAGACCCACTCCGAAAGAATTGCTGTTAGCACACTTAGCACACATCGATAGCACACCTTAGCACAGGGCAGAGGAGCCAAAGTCCTTTTTTCTCGGACTCAGACCTCTATGTAGCTGCAGTGTCCTTAGCATGCTCTCAGGATGTGGGAACTCAAGTCTCTTCCGTAACTTGAGAGAAGTCAAATCTACACCTTCTGCTTTCCAGATATGCACTAACTACTAGATTATGTTGAAAAGCTTCCCCTATGCTTTTCCTATCGGAACTGAGCCATTGGTGCTCTGTCACCAACCAAAATCCATAGTGCCAAAAGGAGAGCGCTTGTCTCTACAGTATGATGGTTTGGGCATAAGAGCAGCAATTCCTGGGGACTCTTCCCTGTTTTTCCCTGTGGAAGTGTGTCCATTTTCATCAAATGGATCTGGCAACTCCACATACTCTCTTCTTGTGTATCACTTTCTTTGACATTTTTGCTTTCCTTGTCTGTTCAGTAAACTGGGCACCAAACACAGGGAAGGGGTTTCCACCAGATGGCAGGACTGCTAAACGTTAAATATTTGAATGCTGTATGTCTCAGTGGGTCTAGCCCAAATACTATGTTGGCCATGTCTGATTGACCATTGACTTTCAGTGGGAAAATCCTAGCCTACCGTTGGCACCATCTCTGTCCCTTAATGGTTAAAGTTGTTTGTTCAGTATTGATTGAAAATATCGGTACTCTTAAAATAATTACTTCCTACACATCTCAATCACCCTTCACAAAATACCTGTTCAAGATATAGAGTAGTAATAAAGAAACATGGCTTGCTAGTTTACATTGTTTCATATAAAATAATTCAGCAAGTCTTTTGTATAATGAATATGTATAAGAAATCTTTAGCTTGTCACAGCTCTAATCATGAACAGAAAAGACAGGGAAAAAATCATCTTGTTGTTGTTGTTCAAATAGATCTAATTAAACTAATTGATTCATTTAAAGTTCTGTCAGTTATTGTATATTTTCTTTGTTTAATTTCCACTGCGGTTCTATTGTGTGTCCTTCATGCAGTTTGAAATATATACTTTTTGCAGGTTACTTACCAGATCAATCTCTGAGTGAATAAAGATTTGAGGTATTTTTGCATCCTAGTTTAAAAAATGCAAAAAAGATGAACGCTTATTTGCAGACTGGACCAAGATTTGTCCGCTATACACTGGAAAATGAGCTGTATAGTGGAACTGCTGACACAACAGTAATTTACAGCATGCATAAGTAGTGTCAGAATAATAAAGCTTCTTCAGTGCCTATAAGCTATAAATAGGATGCATTTGTCAATTGCCTTGCCCAGGCAAATTGTGCTCACTTTCCACCCTGCACCTGTGTGTCTTTATGTTTCTTAGAATAGCAGTATAGCTGTCTCGATTCAAGTACTTCATGCATCTTTCAAAACTGAAAATTCCTCCATACTTTGTCAGAGTCATGCTGTCAAACTTTTGTCACTTTAACACACCCAATAGTACCTACAGAGTTTAAAACATATATTTTCTTGTACTTATGTCCCAGTATTTAGGCACATCTTTGTTTATTAATCTCTGAAACTCTTACATGTGAAAGTCTTGCAATAACAGGCTAACAGCTTCCTTTTCGTATGTACTAGCACTTCTGATAGAAGAAAGCATAATACAGGTTCATGAAATGCCTTAAAATTTGGGTGCAAATAAGGTGCCTGATTGAGGAGTACTGGAGTCTAACCTACATTTCTTCTATATTACATTATGCCCATAATCTAAACCCCCAAAAATCTATAGAATTCAATCGCAGTAAGGCACAATGTCTGCTAAAGTATACACCTGTTCTGTAGGATGATACTACCTGACATGTCTTTCTTTCTTCATAAGTTGCTTCTAATTACAAAAGTTTCTTTTGTCTTCTAATCTTTCCTACCCGTGCTGAAAAAAAGATGTAATATGTTTAGGCAAACAAGAAGTCACTAATAGAAGTCACTCTAACAATATCTATGGGACACTTCATTGCCCTTTGAGTCACTGGGATGCATTGGCACATTTTGTTTAAAAATAAAAAACAACATTTTTTTTGAGTTTGTACTGCTATCTAATTGCGTATCACAAGACCAAAATATAATGTAGTGAAGTCTTTCAAACACCTTCCTACTTTTTTCTTTTTTCTTAAAATACAGAATTTAAAACTGTAGCTGAAATTATAATGACTTTTATTAAGCTACTACACAAGTTAAAACAATTATCTTGGAAATAGTAATAGCAACCAGACATAAATTAAGCAAATTATCTGTAGACCTTCAGGCATCTGCATATAAGGACTGCTTTCTTCTCTGACACCAGGTGCTGAAGATCTGACTTACACATGGCATATGAAGCAGCATGATAAAACCTCTGTACACTTTTGGACCCACTAGTTCCTTCAAGGAATAGCAGGAGCCACCACAGTCTTCTACCTTAGGAGGCTCACTGACCATGTGCATAGGCTCTCACGGAAGCATTTAAGGGTAGTGAATGTCAATGCCTTTATCACGGTGACTAGAATGCAGCCATCCCTCATTATGCCAAATAACATAAATGCAACCGTGACATGAATGGCCATACTTCTCATGTGACTGGATGTGTGTCCATCGTGTGAGATGAAGCACATGCATTTTGGTCAATGTAGAGCCCTTAAGAAAGAAGGCAGCAAGTTAAGGGGCTGTTGGCCATTAGTTATTATGATGGATTTGGTTCACAGTCCCTAGATTGGCCCCTCCTACCACAGAATATCTTGAAGCGAGTGGCTCTCAGCACCTGCTCTAGATGCTGCTCGACTGCATAGAGGACAATTAGGTCTTGAAGGATAGTGAGACTGACTTCATAGGTTAGTGGAGTGACTGACGTGAGGGCTCCAAACTGCCCTGTATTGGAGCAGAAAAGTTAAATGGAAGGGGGTAGCTTCTTCTAGATGGTTTATGAATCCAGTTCAAAACTGTTTGGCTACTTCAGCATGAGTTTATACATAGTTCCAGGTTGAATGAAACTACATTTTTAGTGGGTAATGTATCCTCTGGAGAAAGAGCAGTGCCAGACCCTAATTCTAAGGATAATAATAGTCTAATAATAATCTATGACAAATAGCAGCATTACTAATGCTAAGTAGCAAAACAGTTTATAGTTTCTTGGTTATGGTCATTTGGGTATTTATGGGCAAGTCCTTGCTACTGCCTGCAGCTGCTATTTGCTCTGTGTAAAAGAGTAGTCTGGGGGTAAAGCAGTATTATAGGTTGTTAGAAATATGGACTATGTGTCAATGTAGGCAGCTGTTTTGTGTATTTCAAAGGATTGTGTTCCTGTGTTCTTTGCTGACGTAAGGTTGTTTTTTCCATTCATTTAGTTTTTGGCAGCTGCTTCATACAACTTGAGTTCTGTGACTTTCAGACATGAGAATGATGGAACGCAATTCTAATACATTAATTTTCTTATTTCCAATGTAAACAATGATAAATGGGGGAGAAAGAAATTGTTCACTTGGTGGGAGAGAGTTAAGCACAGAGTTTAAAACCCTCTTAGAAGAGAAGATTGCTTCAAATTATTAACAGAAGTTGTTTGATCTCTTTTCTTTCAGCTGTAGTACAACTGATAGCACCTAAGCAAAGGTGTGTAACTTGACTGGTTACCCACATGCATCAATTTTTTTCTTTAATGGTCAATATTAGAAAGGGAGTAGTCACCAACCACTCATCGTCTGGAGTGGCTAAGCCAGGCCACACTGTAGCAGTCACAGAACTTCTGTTCATGATCCTACTAGAACGTATGGATAAGCTTATAATCCTCCCCAGTGCTCTCTGCAAATAATAGAGGTAGTCTGTAGAGCAGAAAGTGGTTCCCTCCAACAGAGGGCTTGGCAATATAAAATACCTCTAAGTACATTCAAGGCAAGGTTGTTTTGTTGAAAGTCATTATTATATATAGCATTACATATGTCACTGAGCTCTTTACAGAGGTAGGAAAGCAAGGACCTGATTCTGCTGTCACCATAGGTTTATGTCAGTGAGAGAAGAGGCAGAGGATACTGTGCTTTAAACATGGGCACTGCAGTTTTACACTGCCAAGAGAATTAACTTTGTCCATTTTTCTCTTTCATTTCCTCCTCACTAACAGGTTATTCATCAGCTTAGACTTTCAGAGAATGAGAGTGTGGCTCTGCAGGAGCTTCTAGATTGGAGGAGAAAGCTGTGTGAAGAAAGAGGAGACTGGCAGCAAATCTTGCACAACACTGAGCAAAGGATCACAGCCCCACCTCCACCTCCTTGTAAAAAGCCAACACTGCTGAAGAAGGTAGAAGATACCTCCTGCAACAGACTTTCTTCAGGCATATGGGATACCACCATGTGATTTAGATGTGTGTTTCTGCAGACTGTTAGGAATGAAACCATGTGAAGATTTCAATCTGCACAATCAGCAAGTTTCCTTCCCTCCACAAAGTGTGCAGGGATTTTTTACAAGCACTCATTCAAGAGCACAGGAGGCAGGAACTATGTAGATCTGTTGTGTGTGCGTGTATATGTGTGTGCTTGTTCTTTTCATATATATATGTATATATACACACATATGTGTGTGCATTTATGAGTATATATGTGTGTGTGTATGTACATTTATATATATGGAGACAAACTGCACTATAAGTACTTAGTTTAAAAGTACAAAACCATCACTTAAAGCTCTCCCATGGACATTGAGGAAACTCTATGTTAAGCAAATGAGGATGGGCAGAGCTAACTGACAGGCATTTTAGAGAGATCAGGAAAGTCTGCGTGCACACTGTACAGCTGTTTTATATAGTACAAAAAGATGATGTTTCTTGTTCCTTAATGGATGGTTTTATTATATTACATGTATACATATATATATTTCTTTGTAGATGTCTGTGTTTTATTGGAGTTGCAAACCCAATGATTATTTACATGTTTATTACTGGTGTTTTATAACTTTATGCAATTGGTGCTGTTGTTCTTTCTTCAAAATACAGGTAATAAATACAGTACTTGCATTTTTTTCTCATAGTTTATCCTTAACAACATACCAGTTTCAACTCTGTGTTCTTTTCCAGAACTGGCAGTGTTCTTTTTAAAATCAAATTGAGATATATTTGCAAAGCTTCCATTTGCAGATGTGGTTTAATGCTGTTTGTAGTCATGAGTTAGAGAGCATGACTTTCTTACAGTGGGCCTGTGTTTCTGAATGTGTGAATTGTGAATTCTTTAGTTACATTCCAAATCTTATTTCATTCTGGGTTATGTAGAATAATGAGGCACTCATTTAGATTATAAGTATGGTTTGAAATTCATACCTGATTATGCATAAGGTCAGGTATCAGTGGAAAGATACATAATGGTAATGAGGTATGAAAGTAGGGCTGTGATTTACCGTTAAAAGCCGGGAGGCTTTATGGAGATGAGTATATCAAAGGATTATGTCCTTATAGTGGTACAGTGATGCATTTATACCTCAAATTTCATGTAATGAAATGATTTCAGAAATGTGAGCATTCTAGTTGGGGAACATGAGTTCTGAGCAGTAATATTAATATACGAAAAGCATGCTGCTGGAAATTTGTTAGCTACTGCTCAGCAGTCTTTGAAATACTGCTTTGCCAATAAAAGGTGTAATTTATATATACACGAAGGTATTTTGTCAGGGGGCACTTATTTTAACTTCTTGGAGCATGTAGAGCCAGTGTGAAGCGCTCTTCTTGGCTGTTTGCCCCATTCCTATTGGGATCCAGGGAAAAGTGCTTGTAATTTTGCAAGTGGATATAAAAGTGATGTTTTAAAATGTAAGCTAAATTAAAAAAATGAGCTCACCCTTGGTTATAAGTTGTTGGGAGGGAAAAACAACCTACGTAGAGATGTAGATTTTTCTGTCGTATTTGACAGAGGCTTCAAGCAAGCTGAGTAACACTAAGCAATGATATGCCTGCTCTCTTGTTTGTTAGTTTGTTTGTTTTTACAGGGGAAACAGCAAAACTCAAACTGTCCCCCAGAGTCCCTGAAGATCATCAAGCTAGAGGCAGAACTCAGTGCCTTCTGCTGCTGAAGATTAAAATAGCCATTCTGAGTGGACAAGGAAGGGGAGGCACCAGGTTAACTCTCTATTTAGTTATGTGTTGATTGTTCTTTGATACTTAGGGCAAATATCACCCAGCACAGCATTTTACCTTGTTACCAATATTACCTTCCTAGCAGTCCTCTGTGTAAGATTACCCATTATTTCATGGAGAAGCAGGGATTCTGGACTCTAAACCTTACCCTCAGCTGATGTAAATGGTCGCAGACCATTACTTTCCCCGTAGGGGCAAAAGGCAACCATGCGGGAATGTAGAAAACACTTCACACTCCTGAAACAATTATGTCAGAACTAGGCTTAGACTGGCAGGATTGAGGTGTCTGCCTTGCAGCTCAGCTAACTGGGGACACACAGAGATCCCTGTTGTGAGAGTGAAATGAACTGGCTCCAGAACTGGATGCAAGAGAGCTAATTAACCCGCCCTTGCCACTACGTTCCTTCTAGGATGCAAGTTGCTGTCTCTGCGTGGCACAGCAGTGCTGTACGTAGCCATAACAGCTTCTGCCCAACTAGCTCAGCCATCCCAAACACCTGACTGCACTGAGCCAGGCAGACATGCCCTCAGGCTTATCACTCCTCAAACAGACCTGGCAAATAGCCGTCTCATAAGCGCTATCCATGTTGCTCCCTCTGATGCTCACTAGCTGGCTGGGTGACTGGTAGCAATCAATTCACAGCAGCGTGGAGGTTTAGGGCAAGCTGTAAAACCTGTCTGAGAAGCCAGTTTAGACCACGTTGAGATCCCTGCTGCTGCAATTAGCCTGCTACCAGTCACCAAGCTAGCTATTTGTAAGGTAAGCTTATGTATCTCTTGACTGTCATTTCTGCGTCTGTAATGCAGGAATACCCAGAGGGTAGAGACTACGTTTGTCAAATGGAGTTTGAAACGGGATCGCGCACGTTATACTCTTTGCAATCCTTAGTAAAAGTTGTCTTAGAACTGTGATCAGCCTCCGCTGCAGGGGCTGAAATGGGGTTTAAGGAACCTTTTTGCTACTCTTTCAAAGTCTGTATTGTATCCTAGTGCAGCTACATAAGCCATGTGTGGAAAAGCAGGTACCTAGATCTTCTACCAGTTTCATCAATACAGGTACACAGGAGAAGCCAGCACAAACCTGATGCAGGCTATCTGATTCTCCAGACAAAGGGGAAAGTGCATTATTCCTCCCTTGGCAGAAGGCCTTTGTTGTATTTTTTGGAAACTTGGGTAAGGCATATATTTTATGGGGCTCTTCCTTAGAGCACGTAACCACAGCACAATACTACAAAGTAAATAGGAGAGGATATGAGATCTTTTTTTAATTTTGTTTATTCCAGGATATGCAATGGCCAGCTTTTAGTTTGGAAGAGTTTTTCAGGATATTCGATTAAAATATAATACCATAGGAAAAGTATTTGTGTTAAAAGCATGTATTTCTCCAATTGCAGTAAGACACTCCAGCGCGTGACTTATGATGTCATAATTCACACCTAGTGTGTTCATTGGTCCCTTGGCCTTTGGCCTCATGCCTAACAATGCAGTTGGTAGGGAATTATTATACCATAATTCACACCCTACTGTGTCTTATTGCTTAAATAACCATACCCCCAGAGGTGTCTTAAAACTACCATTAAAGTTTATATTGTGTATCAAAATGTGTTTACAGGGCTGGGAAAATATACTATTGACATTTTGAAATGTTGAGAAGTAGTTTTAGTAGAACTGTACAGTGCTTGTAAATTAATCTCCCCAGAGGAGTATGCACCAGCCAATTACAGCATTTCTTGAGTATATGAAGTTCTCTCTTGTACATTAAAAAATAGCCTAGACAAAAAAAAAAAAGCCTTATGAATTCAATATTCTAAAGGGAAAGATTAAACTCTATGAACATGCTAATGCTCTTAATATCCAATGAACAATCTAACGTATATTTGCAATAAAGCAATTTCAGGAAGCTGGGGTTATCATCAGATAACCACACCTCCACATTGTGCCTTATTGCTTAATTTTTCATATGTGAAACAAACACAACTTCTAACAAATCAGCATCTCCTTCAGTGTAAAGCAGTAAGAATCAGATATGTTTTACACTTTAAGAAGTCATTGGTCTTAAATCCAAGGGAATTCTAAAACCATATTAAAAAAAAATCATCTCTTGGAATGATGAATTTTTAAAACCTGCAGATCTCCTTGTTACTCCTGAAATAGCACTTGGTGGTTTTTAGTTGCTGTAGTTACAATCCTATTGCAGATTAAAAGCAAACCTTGCTTCTGCTTTTTAAAATTGGATTTAGATGTTCAAAGAAATACATGCACCAATATTCTACAAAACATCTGTGTACAGCATGAAGAGATAAGCCTTTTAAAACTTTGTATTGTTTACAAAACAATAGTATGATGGTTGAATAAGTGAATTAAATTTCCCTTTTTTGCCAGTGATCCTTTTTATTCCCTCTAAAGGGTTGACTTATGTTCATTAATAACATTTTACATTGCAGGTCCTTTGTGTGTGGGACAAAGAATTTCATTAACTTGCTAAGAAAGCATAGTAGATTATAGCATAGTTCTAAAGTGATAGTAATAGCCATAATCATTGTAGTTTTTAATTCTGCTCTATACAGTATTGAGAACCCTAGTAATCACCTTATTCTTATCTTTATAAAGCCTGCTAATATCTGAAATGCTCTGAGATTCCTAAAATAAGTTTTGCCATTCTCTTGTTAAATAATAAATTTATGTAATTAAACTCTGTACAAGTCAGTTTTCCAGAACAGTATTAAAAATTTCATGGCTTTGTACTCTATATATACAATTTTTTAAAAAGAAACATCACCTGAGCATAACTACTTAGCAGTATTGGAACAAAACACAAGGGCATATAAGGAATTGCTTGTCTTTCAGTTTTTACTGTTCTGTGTGTACTCAGGATTTTCATTTTCAGAAGTAGTAAATAAATCCCTGTGCTGGTTTACACCATGGCTGTGAGAATTAGATCATTAACAAAACTGTCTCTCTTTCCACCTGTAATTTGGCCCTTTCCCTGGCCACAGGAATGAATATTGGATCTGACTGAATCATGGCTTTTGCTGTGAAGTGGCTGAGGCAAAAATATAGGCAAAAAAGGATTTTTGAGGCTTTTTGATTTATTATGGTAAAAAAAAAATCATCTTGAGTTAGCTAAAAAAAAATCATCTTGAGTTAGCTAGAAGCATTTACTTCAACCTGAAATAGCTTATTTTGGTACTCATGTTTATGAGTAAAACCCTCTCTAAGCCCTTTTTTTCTTTTCTTTCCTGTCAACTTAGGTTAATTTTCAAACACTTTTTGGATGACAAAAAACGTATACTTAAAAATTACACCAAAGCCTTTAGGGTTAATTTTTGAAATGAAACATTTTCCTTTACAAATACTAAAATAAAATATTTCAATGTTTTCAAAATGCTTTTCACCTTTTCCAGCTGAAACTCTTTGCTGGATGCAGTCTGAATGTACACAGTTTCAGTCCTTCTCAGACTTGACTTTTCATAAATCTACTCTTCTCTGAAAAGACAATGCTAATGGATATTTGTTTCAAGCTGCAAGAGGACTGCTGCGGTCCTTGCAAGTACGAACAGAGAAAATTTGACAGGCACAGGTATATTGCCGTTCTAGCAATGTTCATATGTCAACAATTAGTGGTGCCCCTCCTGTTCTAATCTGAGCTCTAGACCCTTCTCTGTCTACATAGAGATGAACTCTCCTGTCTCCTGGAATTTGTTAGACCACAGAAAGAAAAGGACTGCATCTCTCATCGGTGAAAAAAGCACTCCCATGGAAGGGGGAGAAATGCGCTTCAGGTTCTTCCCTAGTGTGAATTATTTAAGTATTTCTGAGAATGGGAATTGGAATGCAAGTCTTTCACTAGACAGATATGAACAACCCACTAGGTTAGAAAGTCTTTTCACTTTGGCAGTGAACGTCCATGCGAAACAAAATAGCTTCAATTAAAGGTTGTAGACATGTAGCTTTTCTGCCTCACAACATAATATATAACTTGGTGGTCACCAAAATCTTCTGAAATGTAGGGAGGCTATTTTTGCATCCTTCAGGAAGATGAATCTACATGTCTTTTGAATTAAAACCACTCCTTCTAGCTGTGTTTGGTGCAGACCCTGGGAGTGTGGTCTGAGCCTGACAAATTAGATAGACAGACAAGAAATGTCTAGCGTTTGATTTTGACAGGACTAGGATAGGAGATCGGTCAAGTGTGAAGAGATAAGTTACAAGTGCTTTGGTGTTTCTACAGTCAAATTTAAGACCCAGTTTCAGAAATGCAAATCTTCAGACATTGTGACCTTCCTTTGTGATTGTTCTGAGCAGCAGTCTGAAGACATAAAGCACAACACTGGCTTTCAAAAAGACCAGCCAAGACAAAAAGTCATGGAAAATCCACAGATCTAGTCTTCTATTTAATCCCTGCATAGGAACAAAAGGCCAGATCCTGGAGAGAATTTGGGACCAATAAGGAAACTAACACAAGACCTTCCTTTTACCTGCCTTGTCCCTGGAAAGGAACATAGGACTTACTTTGAGTTGGGTTTCCATAATGACTGTGCTGGGCTTCCATTTATGACTGTCTTGTTATGAGAGTTAAATGTCAAAGAATAGCATGTTTGTGGTGAAAGACACTCGTAGAGCGAAAGGCATAGAGTTTGACACTTTCAAAAGCAGACACTGGGGTTGGCAGAATACTTCCAAGGGATGGTGGACTAAGTAGCTGCTAGGAGCTCTGTGGTGTAGTGTTAGAACACTTATGCACATGGAACAAGATCTATAGGTCAGAGAGAAAAGGAGTAGACAGCAGCAGCCTGAAATCACTGTGCATTAAAATGGGCGTATCCACAGCACGCAGAAGGAGATGAAAGGAACAGAGGCTCCATCTTCCCAGGAAGTTTGAGAATTTCTGAGACTCCAGAGCAGAGTTGTGAAGCTTACCAAACTGCCATGCCTTTCAGTTAGTGTGACCCTGGATTTGAGAGAAGTGATGCCTGACATTTGAGAGTGATAGTGCAAGCATGAATCAAGGTTAGTATTCTTGAAAATGTTCCCAGATAGAAGTAAAAGCCTAAGCAGGGACGAACAAGTCCTGGAAAGGAACATAGAGCTTCCTAGGATGGTGTACATATTCCCAGTTAGCAATTCTCATCTAGAACTTGCAGAGGATATAGAAGATTACAGAGGATAAAGGTGAGCAAACATTAGAAAAGGGGAGAAAAAAGGATTCAGAAAATTATAGCTAGTCAGCTTTATTTTATTTCCCATTCTGATACTAGAAGAAATTATAAAACAGCTATCTAGAAGATAAGAAGATTAGAAACCAGCTGAAATGGGGTTCTCAGAAACATGTGTATCAATCCATCAGTTTTTCTTTTTTAGTAAGGTAAGTGACCTGATAGATAGGTAGATAGATATATAAAAGTAGCTATATTATCCTTTAAAATTCGTAAGGCTTTTGGTGCTGTGTCCTATCACATCCTTTAAACAAATTGAGGACATAAGGGTCATTTAATGTTTTCATAGAGTAATACAGTTGGGAAAAGACATCTGGAGATCATCTGATCCACTGTGCCCTCTCTCCAATCAGGGCCCAATTAGAACAGATTGTTCAGGATCTTATCCAGTTGAATTCTGAATATCTCCAGGACCTGAGATTTCACATCATCTCTGGGCAGCTTGTTAGCCTGTTACAAAATTCGACTACCCCACTCTGAAATTCTTTTTCCTAATATCTAGCCGGAATTTTCCTTGCAATTTATGTCTTTTACCTCTTGGTCCATGACTGCGCACCACTGTGAGTGGTTCCATCTTCTCTACACTCACCCATTAGGTAGCTGTAGACAGCAATAAGGCCTCCACTTGGCTTTCTTTACTTCAGCCTGAACAAACCCGGTTGTTACAGCCTCTCCTCATATGTCGTGTACTCAAGCCACCACAAATCCTCTCGGTGACTCTTCACTGGACTTACTCCAGTATGCTAATGTCTTTCTTGTACTGAGGAGGCTGAAACTGCACACAGTGCTCCACAGGCAGTCTCACATATGCTGGACAGAGGGGAAGGATCAGTTCCCTCAGCCTGCTGGCTGCACTCTTCCTCGTACAGCCCAGTATAAGGTTGACTTTCTTTGCCACAAAAGCATACTGTTGACCCAAGTTCCCTGTCATCTCTCAGGATCGGCTTCCCCATGGGAAACCCCATGTCCTTTCTGCAAAGCTGCTTCCTATCCAGTCAGCCCCCAGGTTGTACTGTTGCTTGGGGGGTGAGGGAGGTGGGTTTCTGCCCAAGATGCAAACGTTTTTTGTTGAACTAGGTTAGGTTTCTGCCAGCCCATTCCTCCAGTCTGTCAGCATCCTCTGAACAGCAGCCCTGTCCTCCAGGGCTGCCTTCCAGGGTTGTGACCCTTCCTTACCCTGGCACATGTTCACAATTTGATATCATCCCCAAATCTGATGAAGGAGCCTTCTGTCCCATCCCTCAGGTCATTAATAAAGACAATACTTGCCCCAGTACTGACCCCGGAGGAATGCCATTAGTTGGCTGCCAATTGTACTTTGTTCTGTGGTCAAATGCTTTCAACCCAACGGTCTAGCCAAATTTCTACCAGCTTGTAGTCCACCTATCCAAATCATATTTCACTAGGTCAGCTATTAGGATGCTATGGGAATTCACACGGTAGACAAATAGACGGTTGAAAATCAGTTCTCAAAAATTAATCACTGGCAAACAGGCAGGACAGGCAGATCTCACACCGGATTTCTTTGCAGGAGGTGTCCCTGACCCAGTTCTATTCAAAATTTTTATTACTAAAGTGCATGATAGAAGAGAAAGGACATATATAAAACTATGGATGACATCAAACTGGGATGGGGCTGCAAGAATGCTGGAGGAGGACAGGAGCAGAATTCAAAGTGATCATACCAAAGTTGCGGCAAGTTCTGAAATCAGCAAGAGGAGTTAATAGAGAACCATGAAAAATATTTCATCAGTGGAAGAACTGAAGTGTACAAATACAAAACAGAGTATCTGCCTTAGTAACAGTTTGATAAGATAGGATCAGACTTACAGAAAACCACAATCTAAATGCACATCAAAAAGGTGAAAGGAAAATGCCAGCGGATCAGTGTACATAAGACCCCATTGATATTTAGTCTGCACTACTTAGTGAAGTCTTGGAGGAGTTGGGGGGAGGATAACTCATATTTTGGCTTTGCAGTATATCCGCAGCACAAGGAAAGGAGAGATGCATTTTCTCCCCCCCTGCTGAGAAGAAGCACGCCCACAGTCTCAGAAATAGGAAGACTTCAAGACTCGTAGCTCTTCCAGAGAGCCATGGAAAAGCTCAGGTTGGTAAGACCATACCTAAGCTGCTGAGTGGACTGATGGTGTGTGCTGAGTCAGTGTGAGCTATAACACAGAGCACTTAGCATGAAAGCTAGGAGTGGTGCCTGGAAATGTAAGCATTTTGGGTGGGACATGAGATGAGGGCTCGCAGAGGTCTGGGCAGGATTCAGCGATGGCAAGGACAGAGGCAAGATGCTTTCAGGCAGTGTACAAATTCACAATAAAGGGTCCAAAAGAAGGGATAGGAGATGAGGGTAAGACAGCATAGTTACCTCGCCCAGAGACCACAGCCTGGATTATCATGAAATGTTTGCCCTGATCAGCTTTGCTAGGAGTGTAGCAATCTCAAACCGCAAACAGCATGCTGGAGTCCAGGGACCCTTTAGATTAGGCAGTTTGGTAAGCTTCATGGAAGGAAAATTTTGAAAATATTGCCTTCAGTATTGTCATAACTGTGGTAGCACACATAGCTGTACTGTGTGTGTGTGC